AAATGCAGGTTCTTCTCTCCCAACCATCATTCCACCCACCCATCCATCCAACCACTCACCCATCTATCTACCCATCCACTCATCCATCCATCCAACCATTCATTTATCCACCTACCCATCCACTCATCCAACCATCCATTTATCCACCTACCCATCCACTCATTCATTCATCCATCTACCTACCTATCCATCATCAAAAGATTTTACTTTAGCTTCCGAAAATTTATTACTAACCCAGCCACCACGTCACAAGGAAATAAGTATAATTACCACCATAATCTGTCAAGTCTCTAGTCTAGAAAAACACCTTTACAAGAGACCATCAGGTAATGATTACACCCAGAAATATCAGAGACCAGGGTGGCTAGACCCACAACTAGAATACATAGCAAGATCAACTACTTTAACTTGTAATTGTTCCAGAAAATGTTGGAAATACAGCAGTAGCAGTTACAGTTGCCTCTAATAAATGTTTGCCCATTTGCTACAAGAACAGCAGCTAACAGGGGAAAGGGCCATTTGAAACAAGTTTACATGAGGGCTGGGGCTCTAGCTCAGCAGCATAAGTGCATGCTTGGCAAGCGCTTGGTTGTGAGTTCCATCTCCAATACCAAAAAAAGTTTGCATGAATGGCGATTATAACAGAGGTCACTAACATTACTCTGAGTCTGGTACCATTCCAGCTGTATTTTTTTTTTTTTTTTTTTTTTTTTTGGTTGAAACAGGGTCCAAACCTGGGCTCTGGAGCCCAGGCTGGCCTTGAATTCACAGTGATCCTCCTGAGTGCTGGGATCATCGGAGTATGCCAGCATGCATGGCTCCAACTGTATTAGCAGTACCTACTGACGCTTGGAACCTATGACTTCTCTTAACTACACGAAGAACCCAATCTCTCACCCTAGCAACGCCAGGCCTGCATATGAGGTGAACAGACACCCTAAAAACAAACAGGTAGGCACAGAGGTGATGGTTTGTCCGAGCTTGACAGTGGGGCAGGTGGGGTCAGAACCCAGATAGTCATACTCCACACCCACATTCTTCCCTGCGTGACACTGGCAGGAAAGAAGGGACCTCAAGGGGTCTCAAAGGAGGACAACAGGAAGCTATGGGTCTGGTAGTCCATCAGGACAAACATCAGGAGCTATTAAAACGAAAACTATCAAATCTCTGGCTGGGAGTAGAGGGATTTTTTTGTGGTTTTGTTTGTTTGTTGTTTTGGGCATCAGCAATTGGAACTCAGGACCTGAGCTTGCCAGGCAGGCACTGTGCCACTGAGCTGCATGTGCGGTCTGGAGCACAGGTTTCATCCTATAAGCGCTCCTGTCCTCTAGCTTTACTCTTCATGAAAGCTGCCATGACAGATAAAGTACTCGGTGCCCGGTCCTCCACCAGCTCCTGCCATTTTCCGGAGTCAGAGTGAACACTGATGCATGCACCTTCTTTCCCTGCAAGCAAGGATGACTCTTGGGAAGCTTTGAGGCCACAGAAAGTACTGGGAAGACACTTCTGCTTCTCTCCTTGAGCTCTGAAATACAAACTTACAAATATGAAACTAACTTAATACATTTAATCCAAAAATAACGCTTTGGTGTAGGCAATACTACACAAGTTATTGTGTCTATTGAGTGAAAATTTGCTGAAGTCAGAACAGATGTGTCTTGATGAACCTATCACGTAAGTCAAAATGTACTTAATACACCTGGCAGACTAGGCATCTGGGCTTGGCCTAGTCTACTCTTAAACGTGCTCACAACACCTACTAACACCTTACCAGCTGGGTAAGGTCATCCGAAACAAAGGCAATCTGTAATCATGTGTGGGACAGACACCCTGTGTGGTTTTTTTTTCCTAGCAAATTTGAATCAAGAACACCCTGTGTGGTTTACTGAACATGGCTGCATGGGTACTCGCAGCTGTGTACACAGCCTGAGCATACTGGACCTGAGGCCTGCAGGGAGCACCGAACTAAAACTAACTACAGATACTAGGGACACTGCATGCCAGGGTCATCAGCTTCTACCTGACAGCTGTGGTTCACTGCCACTGCCCTGCACCAAGACAGCAGCACACCACACGTGACTAGTCCAGCAGAAGTGCAGGCTCAAGATCAGAACTCTGGCTTCTCCTGAATGTGCACTGCATGCCCACTGTCATGAAGCAGAAAAACTGCCAAGCTGTTACCATCGTAAATCAGGGACCATCTGTACATTGAGGGGAGACATGTGAGGAGCCAGGATGAGTCTGCTTTTTGCAGCTCCTCTTGTAAGGATCAAAATAAACTGTACAGGGAAACAAGCAGAACATGGTTCTTCAAGGAGTGCACCTAAACTAACAGGATCCACAGTATCTCGAGCATATTCTACAGATGGGCTAAAAGAGCACAGGAAGACCCTGGATGCAGAAGGAAGAAGGGGGTCCCACTTAGCAGTTTGTACCAGGATGATTCCAAAATGAACTGTGGAAAAATATACATTAATCCAGCTTGATTTCTACAATGATGCACTCAGAGCTCAAAGACACACTTCAATATAATTTTTTTTTAAAGGATGAATATGACTTCTGTCCCTAAGAAAGTTCTACTTCACTGAAAAAGAGTGTATTTCAGGCACCAGAGTGCAAAGCTGTGCAGGATAAACAGGATGAGGGCTGGCAGAAGACACTACTTCCATCGGGCAACATCAGCAAAAGCTCTACAAGATGCAACCTGGCCTCCGAAGGATGGAGAAGAAAAGTTCACATTACAAAGTTTATAAAATCTGTAAGCTGAGGGGCTGGGGATTTAGCTCAGCAGCGTAAGTGCCTGCCTTGCAAGCAGGCAGTGTGAGTTCAATCCCCGGTACCGGTAAAAACGAAAGAGACCCAAAAAAAAAAAAAAAAATCTGTAAGCTGGTGAATTCCTCATGAGGTATACACTTACCAAAGTAAAGAAGCAGGGCAAAAAGCAGGAGTGAGCCTGTGGAGGAAACTACTGCCACACCAGGCACCTGTGCAGCAGGCCTCCAGGCCTCCCCATGGCCAGCGGACGGACGTGACACACCAGAGGTGGCTGCACAACTCTGCTCAGATCTCCAGTCTCAATCAAGAGCCAGGTCTGACGGACCCTGCTCCCTACCCTCATCCTGCACAGCCCACACCAGATTCACACACCAAACCTGCCCTGGCAGTGCTCACACACTCTGAGTGTGATCTAGCCACCGTGGCAGGTATAGAAGAAGCTGAAGCAATGGCCTTGAACCTGGCCATCTTCTATCCCAAGACTGACTCAGAAAAGGAGGGTGAGGCCATGAGGGAAAGCGTGCACCAGGGATGCAGCAACTTGAGCTGACCTCAGGGGGAGGCACAGTGTGGGAAGAGCTGGGGCAGGAGGGACAGCCTGTCCAGAGAGCAGGTCTGCTCACCCTCTACTGGAAAGAACTGAGTTATGGAAGCTAAGCGGAGGCACCTCCACCCCAGCTCACTTCCTGGGAACAGAGCAGAATAATTTAATCCAAGTGTCTCCATAATGAAGCAAGACAAGTGCTATATCAAAGGGAAAGAGAAGGAGACGAAGCACTTATTTTGGATTATGTCGGAAATATCAGATGACAAAGAATTAAAATCACCCAACTTTTTTTTTATACCCGGAATCAAACTCATGACCTTACACTTGCCAGGGAGGTGCTGTATCGCTGAGAAAAGCATCTAAATTAAATCCTTAGCAATCAGATGCTTGTTTCACTGGATTTTGCCAACTGATAATCATGTTGGACTGAGCTAATCTGTTCCTCTTTCTGAAATTATTAAGGTAAATAATAAAATTTCCTTTATAATACAAAAACATTAAAATATTAAAACATGGGCTGGAGATTTAGCTCAGCAGCATAAGCGCCTGCCTTGCAAGCGCGTGGTCATGAGTTCGATCCCCAGTACTAACTAAAAATAAATAAATAAATAAACAAATAAAAGCAGCTGGATGTCTTTATTTCATATACTTTAAAAAATATATATTAAAACAACCCCTCCCTCCCAGGCAGCACCACCATGCAGGGGATGCACAGAGCCACTGGCGGTGGTGGCAGCAGCTATGGCAGCAGTGGCAGCAGCAGGGAGAAGCCGTGCAGTGGTGCTGCACAGCTCCACAGCAGCTGGTGGCGGGGACCCTCTGTGTGTTTCGCTAGGGCTCATGCTCTTCTGGGTTTGAAAGGCAAAGCAAGTTTTACCAATGAAACCCTGTTCCTACTCTCGCTGTCGGGAACAAGAGTTTAAAACAACAAACTACCCACAAAACACCCCCTTCTTTCCACCAAGGGCTTTGGAAAACCAGAAAATTTTATGTGAGATTCACGTGCAGGGCTCAGGGGAGCCCACATGTGCATTGTCGTAACCGTGACCCACAAGCTGCAGGTCAAGTTGCTCTCTTAAAAAGTGAAGCCGTTTCAGCTTTTCCAAGAACCTGGATTTGTTCCATTTCCTCACCATGTTCAAAAAAAATAAAGTCCAACGCACACCGCAGTAATGAGCAGCCCAACACTACCCGTGAGGGGACCCTTCCAACAGTCGGAAATCAGTGACGGTATGACGTGCGACTTCCCTGAAGAACAGACACCAGCCCTCCAAATAGGCTGCTCGAGGGCGGCAGGCCACACACCTATTAGCCTCCCAACACGCTTCAGAGTTGAGGCACAGCTAAGCACTACAGAGAGCCCAAGCCCAGCCATGAAGCCCCGTGGTGTGTTCAGTGACAGAGTCGGCATACTATCTTGTCACTGATAAGACACCGTTTGCACACTAGCCTTGTTCAAGATATGAAATCACTCTTAAGGAAGTACACAGGAAGAAAAAAAAAAAGAAAAAAGAAGAATGTACACAGAGATGGGCGTGATGGCACACACCTGCAATCCCTGCCCTCAGGAGGCTGAGGCAGGAGGACTGCCACAGTTTCTGGTCAGCCTAGACCACACAAAAAAAAAAAAAAAATTTAGAGAGATATCATCATCCATTTTCACAAAACATGTAAATACCTGTTCCTGCAGGTCATAGTCATAGCTGTCATGTAGCAGAAGACTGAGGACATAGCGCGTATAGATCATGGCATCAATGCCACATTTCTCCAGCTCTTGTCCCAGCCAGGTCTGCACTGGGCCCAAAGCATGAAGCAGAGACATGTCAGAAGCAGACGCAAGGTCTGGACAAGAACTCGAGGAGCTCTCAGATGGCGAAGCACCCACGGTGAGGGCACAGACAGGTGCATGAAGTTAGGTGGCGGGCATCCTCAGCGGGCAGGGCGCTTCCCACAGCGCAGGTCCTGGTGCAGTGCGGAGGGGTTCTTCACTCCAGCAGCGGCAGGGGGTGCTGGACATGGAGGAGGAGTGCTGACCAGGCCACAGTCAGCTGTCTAGGACAGAGCTTCCCTCTCTAGGCATGGCCAGCACATCAGCATCCAGACATCAGCGCACGTGCGGATGGAACCTTCTGCTTTCATTTCACATTGAAGCCAAATGTAAGACTTGGGCAGAACCTACAAAAATGAGAGAGGAAAAGGTCTGTGTTATACAGAAATTCCACTGGTGATCTTTCGAAAAAAATTTAACAGTTCCTCTTATATCTCTGGGAGCTGGGAATTTAGCTCAGCGAAACAGCATCCACTAGCAAGCACAAGGCCCTGAGTTTGACTCCCAGTACCAAAAACAATGTCTCTGCTGTCAGCAAAACATGGTGGCACACATCAATAATCCCAGGATCTGGGAGGCTGAGATGCCTCAAGTTCAAGGCCAGCCTGGGTTACATGGTAAGTTCAAGGCCAGTCTGCACCACAAAGCTAGACTTTCCACAAAGCGAAAAAAGTCTTTTGTGTCTTTTTTCCCCCTGAAATGTCTGACATTTTCAATTAAGTGAGGGTTGGGCATATAGCAAGTGCCTGGGCATTTGTGTGAGTCCCTGAGTCCAACATCGAATCTCCGGGACCCAAAAAATAAACTAAGTGATGGTACAAACTCGCTTTAAAAATTGCCCTATGGGGCTGGGGATTTAGCTCAGCGGCATAAGCGCCTGCCTTACAAGCAGGCAGTCGTGCGTTCGATCCCTGATACCGATAAAAACGAAAAAGACCAAAAAAAAAAACTGCCCTATGCTCAATTACACTGGTTTATTTTGCTATCTCATGATGAGTAAAACTGTGTTGCCATGAACACTGAAAGAATTTGGTAACAAATCATCAGAGTTCATACTGTATAACAGGTTGAGCATGGTGGCTCACAGCTAAAAAAGCCCAGTGCTGCTCAGGAGGCTGAGGCAGGAGAATCACTGCCTGGGCTACAAAGTGAGTTTAAGGCCAGCCTAACCTGCACAGCAAGACTGTGTCTCAATAATGTTTATCTACAGAAATGTATTCTCAAAATACTCTACATGACAATTTTGAATCCACTTAATCTTTTTATTCAATAAAGCACTATTGCTTAGATATTACAAAAAAAATCCTGATTCAAGACAGAAAAAAAATATGTATCGTATAACAGAAATAAGCAGGTGAACAATAATTTTATTGAAACAGTGGTTAAAAAATTAGTCCTTTAAATTTTTTTCCAGACATGTTTTGAAATTTTTTTTCTTTTCTCTTTGAAATAAAATGGATTTGAAAAAAAATTTTTTATCCAGGTAATTATCATACAGCCAAAAGCTTTAGGATTTGTCATCGTTTTGCAAAAATGAAGACAAGGCCTTGTTTAAAAATAAAAATTAAAATTAAAGACATAGGGGTGGGGATTTAGCTCAGCGGCATAAGCGCCTGCCTTACAAGTGGCCAGTCGTGAGTTCGATCCCTGGTACCGATAAAAGGAAAAAGACAAAAAAATGTTAAAATAAAATTAAAGACATGAGTTCAGTCACCAGTATTATAGGATAAAAAGGTAAAGCTAACTCAACAATGGGGTTATTCAGTCATATTCTTTATGTCAGAATTTTAACATACCACTTAGATACCACAGCAGAAAGTAAACCTCATCAGCTCTTTCATAAATTTCAGTAGATTTCAAAGAGGATTTGAAGCCAGGTGTGGTGGTGCACACCTGTAATCCCAGCACTCAGGAGGCTGAGGCGGGAGGCCTGCTGTGACTTCAAGACCAGCCTGGGTATAAAGTGAGTTCAAGGCCAGCCTGAACTGCATAGTGAGTCTCCAAAGGCAAAAAAAAAAAAAAAAAAAAAGGATTTGAGAATTGATCCATATACTAGCAAAAGCATCAAATCAGAAAAATAAGTACTCTCCCTTACAAGATATACAACTGGGCTTTGAGCTTTTTATCTAGAAGTACAGAGTAAAATTTACTACAATAAACATAAAAAAACAATTTTTTTATCCATCACAGGACTAAGTCACTAGATTAATGCATCACTAAGTATTTTGACACTTTCAAAAATCCTTTCTACTATACTATCTTTCCTAAATTATTAAAGGTAGTTAAAACTAAGATTCTCTGTCATTTTTATCACATATTTCCTGGTTGACTCTTAAAATTAAAACATTTTTCTATCAATCACTTCACAGGTGTTCAGATCTCAGATTCCAAGACAGCCCACCAATTAAACACCATTTGATTCTGGAAGTAACACATTAATCAGTGGTCCAGTTGGTTACCATTCAGTGACCGTGAGACTGAAGCCAAGGCTGGGAACCAGAGACCAGGGCCCTGACTGAGAAACTGTCTGCAACTGCAGAGTGCTGCGCGCCCCCAAGGGTACAAACAGCAATGCGCATGGAAGGGACTAGTGATCAGGGCCGCAGAAAACAGCGTCTGATGCCCAGCTCAGGGCATCTGTGCCTCAGCCAGGCTGGAAAAATCTCACAATTCAGGGTACAATGGGAAAGTACCCCAAGGAAAGCCTAACCACCACTCTGATCCTGCCTCACAAATCTTCCAAGATTGCAAAAGACCACATTGCTTCCAGCTAATCTCACTGTGGTCCCAGAACAAAGCTCATGTCTATTTATAAGAACATAAAAATGGCAAAATTCAGAAATTAGCAGGGAGTAGAAATGAGAAGAATTCACTTACAATAGACTGAGAACTGACATAGAAAGTAGAATTGGCAGAGAGCACAGAAACAATATTATAACTATATTTTGTATGTTTAAAAGAGAGTAGAAGACACTATAAAAGATGTAAAATCAGCTAGGCACATACCTGTAATCCCAGTACTTGCAAGGCTAAGCCAGAAGGATCACCACAAATTCAAGGCCATCGTGAACTGCACAGTGAGTTCAAGACCAGCCTGCACTACTGTTTAGCAAGACTTAGTCTTAAAAAAAAGTGTGGGGGAGTGGAGATTCAGCTCAGCAGCCTAAGAGCCTGCCTGGCAAGCGTGAGGTCATAAGTCCATCCCTGGTATCAAAAACAAAAAACAAAACAAACAAACGAACAAAAAACAGAAAAAAGATGTCAAATAAAACATCTAGGGACAAAAACTACAATGTTCAAGATGAAAAATACAAATGCTGACATTAGTGACAAATTGAAGCATTAGAAACAAGATCACTAAACTACAAATGGGAAAAAAAATACACAAAGAGAAATGTAATTTTTAGAAATTAACACAGTATCAGTGAGTTCTGCAACAACTTTAAGAACTCTAGTAAATATGTGACTTATGCCTAAAGGGTAAAAGGGGCACAAAAATATTTGAGGAATTATTCCCCCAAATTTTCCAAACCTGGTAAAAACTAAAACAGATCCAAGCAGTTCAATGAACTCCAAGCACAAGACATACAAAGAAGGATGCACCACACAAAAATTACTCAAGTCTGTGATAAAGAGAAACACCCAGAGAAAAAAGAAGAATTAAATGTGACAAAGGACGAAGTCAGATTTCTTATTGGAAATAATGCAAATGAGAAGATAATGGAGCAAAAACTTTAAACACACACACAAATACTATGCTCATTAAAAATGTCTTTCAGAACCAATCGAAACAGAATTCTTCAGGCACGTAAAAACTGAAGGAATTCAGCAGCAGCAAACGTGGCCTACAAAACACATGAAAGAAGCCTTCAGGAAGAAGCAAAATGATACCAGAAAAAATGTGGACCACAAAGACAGCCAGAAATGGTGGAGAACCACCAGTATCTCCTGAGACCCATGCCATGTTGGAACTTAGGACGCTGTGAAACCAAACAACCAGCCTGCCTCCCTGCTAAGCAACCGTGAACCTACTGGTGCACAGCCTAGAGTCAAACATCCCACTCCCCCCCCCCCCCCCCGTTAGCAAATGGGAACCAGAAATCTGAGCGTCTCCTGGGAGGTTGACCATAGCAAATAAGGGGGACTGAAGGCAAATATTTTATTACTGTTTTGCTCTATTCTGATTAATGGTACTGCTCTATTCAATATTCTGTTTTGATAAGTTCTATAATATTCTGTATTTCATCTCATATTGATATACGTGATTGAAAGAACAACTATTATAAAGATAACGAAATATACTGTAATACCTATTTCTGTTATCCCGGTAATCTGTTGTGAAATTCTGTACCAATTTCACTGTATGATATTAGTTGGCTTTATTCTGTCTTGTTCTGTTGTATTTTACCACTTTCAAAATAAAATTAAAAAAAAAAAAAAAAGACAGCCAGAAATGGTAACTACATTCATCTCAATATTTAAATATCCTTTAAAAATGATAACAGTACGTGGTTTATAACATATGTTTAAGCAAAATATACGACAACAGTCACATAAAGACAGGTGTAGAAAAATGTAATGATACAAGGTTCTTACATATAGGAAGTGGTGACTCACCTAAAACAAATTCTGGTAAGACAGCTATTAGCAATCATAATGTATCCCATAAATGACCTAAACACACCAAATAAAAGAGATGGCCAGGCTGGGTTTTAAAACAGCAACCTCTAATTATATGTTGTAACTTCAAATATAATATGGAAATGGGTTAAAAATAAAAAGATGGGAAAATATATACCATGCTAACACAAACAAAAACCTCAAATGTCTGCATCATAGTATGCAGCGAAGTAGATTTCACTGCAAAAGTATCCAGAGATGGGGCTGGAAGGCCTGCCTGGTAAGCTGGAGGTCATGAGTTCAATCCCCAGCACCAAAAAACAACAAAAAAAAAAGTATCCAGAGACAGAGAACATACACTCCAATCAACAGAGCAAAACAGAGCTACTATCACAAGTTTTCTGTTTTTAACAGCACTCCCTTCTTCAAATACTCATGCTGAAGGAAAAAGACCTTCAAAGCATACTCTTCCCCCCATTCAAAACTGAATTAAATAAAGGGATCATGACTAATTAAACAAAGCCCCACAGTCAGTATTTTATCTTATTTTAGAATTGATCTTTTTTACTTTCAGTTTTAAGTGGTTCCCATTAAAGACATAAAAATAAAGTAAGATAGCTACTCCAGAGCCCATGAAGTTGGCAGAGGAGTCGCCACTCATGCAGCGAACAGGGAAGGCAGAGAAGTGCGCCACGCAGCAGCCAAGCCCACTCTGCTGTGTGAGAGC